TCGTTCTCGTCGTTCTGATGCGCCCTCTTCGCCAGGTAGTCCACCACCGCCTGTTGACGCGCGGTGATCAGCATCGTTGACAAAGCCAGCACCAAGCGTCTCCAGATGTGGACACACTTGGCCACCCCCATCTTCTTGACCTTCTCCTGCTCGCCGTCGCTCTCCAGGCAAGCCATCTGATCGATCTTCCGACGCAAGTCCATGGCTTTGGAGAAGTGCCCAAAGAAGGGGGAAACGAATTGCGGGACTCCGTGTCCACTTGAGCATGTTGCTGCCACGGCGACGTGCACAATTCCACCATGATTGTCGCAGTGTCCGAGGCAGGCAAATTTCAATCTCACGGACAGGAGCCTCAACTGTAGGGGCCTCATTCGGAGCCTCGATGGCGAAAAACGCATCACCCTCGACACCACCCGTGTAGTTTTCATCGACATCGAGGTCACATTCGGGTGACGTCTGTACATGAGAGCGCTCCGGCTCTGTTTCACTGCAAGCATGAGCGTGCCATCCAGCTGCTGGTGCAAAGGTTGATGCCGAACTGGAGCGTGCTGACGAGGCCGCAAAATGCAAACCTTCATAATCGGGGGGCGAAGACGGGCTCCCGGAATGTCCATTGCTTGAGGAGTCCTCGTGCGCACTAGTTGCCTGAAAAGGATTATCAGGCACTGGTCGCCGCTCCTGAAAATAGACCTGACCGTGCCATTCTTGAGGAAGAGCACGTTGAGCTTGCGGCACATTCCACACGTCCTTGACCCTCATGACATGGCCATCCCGGTACACCACGTTGATGTAGCGATCTGGTAGTAGGTCCACGTCTTCACCCAAATGGCACCCATCCGGCATTGGAAGGTGTCGTCGCCAACCGGGCAGCACTGCAACGCACTTCACCCGGTTGTCCTTGTCCCTCAGCCACACTTCCAGAAACGGGTGAGCCGCATCAAATCGCGCCAAACCTTGTGGTTGTTCTGGTTGTTCTGCATGATCTCTGGCCCTCGTTGGCGATCTGGATCTGGATACATGCCGTCCATGGGGTCTACGTTCGGGCCGGTCAAGTAGTGCATAAGGATCTTGACCATCAGATGTCCTCAGGTCGTCCGGCAACTGCCATGCACAGGTATCGAAGTTCAAGATGTTGATGGCACGATGTCCGGTGGGCAACCTGACCATGTAGTCCGATCGTCCATCAGGAAGATGATACCGACCAGTGTCAAAATTCACGATCGCCCGAACCGCCTCCAAATAGCTGACTGGCAAAAGGGGAGGCGTCTGAAAGGCTTCCGAGTCTTGGATGATGGTGAACCGAATGATGCCGTTCACCCCGGCCACATTGGTCGGCACATCCACCACCTTGCAGATCTCTGCCTCACCTCCAATGCCAGCACATGGCAAATGCCTCGCTGATTTCACCACCCGAGGCCTCAGATTCCAGTTTTGCAGACTGGCCTCCATTCTCGCAAAAGATTCACTGCCGCAAACAGCATCCTCCGCTGCGGTGTCAACCAATGCCTGAAAGTCCTGACACCTCACGCCAGCGAAGATGCTGATCCTCCTGACCAGAGGTCCATGATCTCGAACAGGTTCGAGGGGATCTGTCGGATCTGCTTCTCCAGGTCTGTCTGGTCTGTCGGGTGCTACTCGTTCGGCTGAGTCGGGTGGCCGCCTTCGGCGCATCATGAAGGCAGTCGATTGATTCGCCCCTGAGCTCACAATGAAACTGACCTTCTTGTCCTTGGCTCGGTCTCCTTTGCCACCGGCGCCACCACCTTTGAGGAGTGGGCATTCCCGAGCAAAATGGCCCAGCTCATCACAGTTGTAGCACCTTGTCCGAGATTGCAGTTCCTGATCAGATCCCTTCATCACTCGCTTCTTTCCGCCTTTGCCGTATTTGCCGTGCTTGCCGTGCTTGCCGCGGGAGCCTTTGTCATGCTTGGACTTGCCATAGCCCTTGCGATGCCTGACGAAGCCACGTTCCTTCCGCCGAGCCTGGAGGTCACGGCGAACATCCTTGTAGGCAGTGTGATATGCCTGAATCCATGTGGCCTCCAGCTCGTCGTACTCCTTGTCTTCGAAGACCATCATGTCTTCTTCGAGCTCCTCGTCGGGCAGAAGCTCTTCTGACTCGCCATCACCCTCATCGTAGGGGTAACCGTCCTCCTCATAATCCCAACCATCTTGGTCACCATAAACCTGCGCGGCGAATGCCAACTTTCCGGGGCCAGTATTGCTTTGACCAACGTCTTGACCGGCTGCTTTTGCAATCATCTCGGGCCTGTCCAAAGGCCTCAAAAGATCTGCAACCTGCTGAAAGGTCAAAAACTGCGATTGGTCCTTCAGTGAAATGAGCTCCCTCTGAAAATCGGTCAAATGCGCCTGCCGCAGCAACACACGTCCGGTGACCTTGGTATTCAAGGTTTCGCCAAGCTGCATTTCCAGTTCCTGTAATGCAAGCTCCTTGTTTGCCACAAAAGTGGTAAAACTCTCGCCCTTCTGGCGGTCGCCCGCGTAGAAAAACTTATCTACAGAGGAGGGCCCTTGAATATCCAAATACGGCCTGTAGTAGTTAACCAAGGCAGAAAGGATCAATCCATAACCTTCCTCTGTCAGCATTTTCTCCACCGGGATAGAGTCCGCCAAACGTCTTGGAGGGGTCTTGTCCGTGAAACTCTGATACAGCTTCAAACCCCACCGCGCCTTCGGAAGCGTCGTCTCCAGCTCCCAATGGCTCAAGAGTTTCAGCCATGTCCTAAGTGACGATGGATTCCCATCCCACGCAGGCAAGCTCCTCTTCTCGCCAGATAAGGCATTCACCATTGCCTTGATCAGCTCGACTTGGCTTGGCTGCGCAGATGAGCTTGGTGCTCCCGTTGCCGCATTCGGCATTCCCAAAGCTGCAAAAGCCGAGTCCACCTTCTGATTGCCCGCTGTATTCGCGGTCTGCTCAAAAAGTGCTCGTGTAGCTGCTTCGGCACCACCACATTGGTTTAATCCAGAAGGGTTCGCGCCAGGTTGAAAACCAGATGAGGATCCTACTGTTCGTGCAGCTGCATCTCCTTGGGCTCGTGAAAAATCTCCTATGGGCGCCGAGGTAGCATAAAAACCAGGAGGGGGCCTTAAGCCAGCGCATCCAAAATTCTGCAAGCATCCGGGGCTGCCTGCGCAACCAATGTTCTGCATTGCACCATTCTGCATTGCACCAAGATTGCTCTGTCCTGTACCGGAAAACTGCTGAGTCAAACCGGTTGCGAAACCAAATTGCGATACGCTTGAAGGATCACATCCATGTCCAAGAGGAAAATGCATCCCTTGTGGGATTCCTCCTGAAGGCAAAACGCCACCCCAAGCTGCAAATGCTGGTCCGCCGCCGAATTGACTGCCTCGTGGATCCGGTGAAAACTGAGCGCCTTTGCCACCAAAATTGCCGTTTGGCAAGAAAGTGCCAGGCGAGGGCATCGTGCCCGTTGCAGATGAATTCGCTGGTGCCGTCCCTGACGGTGCGTCTTGTGCTCCTTGAGCATGAGCTCCTTGTGCTCCCTGAGCATGAGCTCCACCTCCCTGTGGGCCTCCAGCCTGGGCTGGGTTGCCACCGATCACCTGTCTGGCCAGATAGGCCGCCCAGGGATCCATGGCGCCAGCCGGACGTTGCCGGCTCCGCTACCAACTGACAGCAAAATGCCGCGTTAGCATCTTGTTTTGCTACGCATCCATGATAGCTCAAGGCCTGTTACGGCAGCGGGTGAACATATACAACCCAAGAGTCACAAGGGTTCTGGCTTGACTCGCACAACGGAATCAACCCCTAGAATTACGCTGGATTCGTGGAAGAAAACAATCCACGCCTATTGGCAGCAGTTGGGATGGATCAAAAGCCCCACTGAGAAAGAACCCACAAACCGCTGTAAAGCGGATTGCATCCACAGCCCACACACACACACACAAAAAAAAAACTCGTCGGATCCACAGCCCACGCAAAAAAAAGCACCCCCCCGTTCGTCGGGTCGTTTTTGTAAAGGGAAACCCAAAAAAAAATCTGCAAATTGGGCTCCCTTTTGGATGGGGTTTACTGGCCCCAGTATTTCAGCATCAGAATCAGCCTCTAAGTAATAAGTTATTTTCTAAACTGGGTGGCAAGTTTACAATTACAAAAAAGAACACTGACTTATCGACCTCAACCCGAAGGCGCCCTTCGGGTTGAGAAACATCCATGTCGGAAAAGGGGCAATGGGCCGCCCGCATTCAGAGCTGCAATACTCGGTCACCCCGCCTACTCTCTGGGTTTTTTTCCATCCGAATCAGCACATCTGGCAGATACGGGTCACTGGATTTCCCCTTCGAAAGTTGCAGAAAAATGGGGCGAAGTTCCAGCAAACAATCGCCACTTTTGGAGCTCCCACACCGGAAAGCTGAGGGACCTCGTGTCGACATCGCTCGTTTTACCCCCTTCGAGTCGCGGGAATCGCCCGAACATCGCTGATTAAAGGGTGCAACGCGTTGAGACGCCAGGGCACACCGAAACGGTACCTGGAAAGGCTTGGCTGGATTCGGGACCCTTTTGTGGACATCAACTTCAGGTGGGGATTCAATGGCTACTTCTTGCAGCTCAAGTTGATGTTGCCCGATTTCGCTGTGCTAGCCTTTCCAACAGAAGGAAACTGTGCACAAAAGAAGTCATATTTGCAGATTTCGCCAATTCCTACGTTTCCCCTCACTCATGAAACTCTCATGGACCCAAAAGCGGGACAAAAGCACCAAACGCGGAAAAAGGGCTTCCATTTGCCATTTGCGTAAGGCCCGAGAAAAAAACATATTTCCAGTAGTGATGAATTCCTTTTTAACCCAACAAGGGATAATCAAACATATTCTTAAGCAAATGGAGGAGGGGAGGTTTTGTTCGTGTCTTTTTGTTGGAGGCTACCCTTTTTCAGCTTGTTGTTTTTGCTTTGCCGACTCGAACGCCGGGTCCCGGCCCGTTTGCACCTCCCGGGCACAAAACGAATTGAGTCCTGAAGTCGGTGAGCTCCTCGGGATTTCGTCGAGTTTGGCGACACGCTGCTGGGCCCGTTTTGGGATCCCCAACGGAAAGGCGACTCACTTTTAGTGGCTTAAATTCGGAGACTACCAGACTCAAAGGCTAAGCTAAGGAACCGGATGGAGCCAACAAGGTTTCAGGGCGCAGACCTGCTGGTCATTTTTGGGGAAGGTAGCCTGAAAAATGGGCTGGTCAAACACTTGCATGTGTTTGATTACTAGGTTCTCCAGTAGAGAGGTTAGAATACGGGTACCCGATTATTTTTCAGGACGTCTACTTTAGTAGGGGAACCCTCCCCCAAAAAAAGGGGCAAAAGGGCACTACAGGGGGACCTAGCTTAGAATGGGGTGGTCAAACACATACATGTGTCTTTGTATTTATCTGTTTGGGTGGTTTCAAAGGGACACCGGTAGAACAAACACGTATATGTGTCTCCTCCTTTTGTTTCTTCTTTTCTTGTTTTTTATTTGGGGGGGGGGGGGGGGCGTAGTCCCAACTGGTGCCGGATTTTGATCATCCACAGTGTCACCAGACATAATAGTGACCACCCAACACCAATATCTATCTATCTTCAAGACCCACCGGGGACTATCCAAAGACCGCTCTGCAATGCTTGCCCCGAATTCTGTTTTTGTTTCATGTTTGTTTGTCTCTTCCCAACAAAAAGGGCAACCCAATCCGAATTTTAAGGGTAAGGGTGTCTCCTCCCAAGTTTGATGTATAAGGTGTGCTAAAGACATGTGCAGACCTCTCGTTCCGAAAAAACACCCCCTCTAGGGACTGACATCCGGGCTCGGTCAAGGTGCAGCGAGGAGCGTCTTGAGCTGGTACTTCGAGGTATGGCCATCCGTGAAGGCCACCTCAAAGCTCAAAAAAGAAGCGACTCTCGGCAACACTTTTGCACCAGGGGTTTCGACCCGTTCAGGCAGGCCATGAAGACCAGGGTTGGGGTAATCTTGGTTGACGTTGGAAGGGGAGCAAAAAAAAGAAAGCTGCAACGTGTTGTTTTTCTCACTAAACCACAATAAGCACAAATGTAAAATGTTTCCCAACAACCACCATGCAATATCCCCTACCATTTTGGGGGTCCTTTTTCTTTTCAGCCACACCCAGAGAAACCACCAGAAGTTGCATCTAAGTTGGGTCCCAATTTGGGTCCTTCTTTTGATGGGGCTTGAACCCCGGGGTTGAGATGACTGCCCAAAAAGCCTGGTATTGAACCGCCCAAACACGAGAGCTGAGAGGAGTCTCCTTTTGGAGGACCCTTGCTTAATGAGTGCCTTGTGGGATACTTACCCTCAGTTGTTCAGTGACCCTGGAGAAAAAAAGGAACCCTTTTTTGGGCTTGGACCATTTTAGTGGGGCAGCCACCCCCAAAAAAAGGAAAAAGGGAGCCACTGAACAACTGAGTATCGGTCTTTCCCGGAAGTTGTAAGTGACCGTCCAGTGATGTGGTCTTGAACTAGGCTCACAGCGCTGTGACAGCATCATGCGTTTAACTCAGAACCAACCACGGGGGACCGCAGGTGTTGGTCGTTGGCTCCATTTGCTGGCTATAGGGTTCCAAAATGGATACCCATTTTGGACCCACAGCCAAATCAGAACCAACCTAATGGACACAAGCTTGAGGTTGAAGTATTGGGAAGAGGACGTTCAATGGGCTTATTGTCAAACAAGTGAATGCTGTTCACAGTGAATGGTTGCAATAACCTTGAAGTGTCTGGTTCATGTTGACCCCGGAATAATAAACCGCTGTTGATTAATATGAGGAGAGTCCCTTGTTTTAGTGGGGGATTCATGACTTTTGGAGGGGGCGCCCCAATTCATAAACGGAGGTTTATTAATCCGGGGTCAACATTAAGTATGCACACCTGCTTGCCGCATACTTCGACTGTCTACCAGTCACCAACCTCAGCGTCAACGTACCTAACAAACAACGCAGACTTTCGCTTGGACTTGGGGAAGCCGAGCACCGAAAAGGAAGCACCTGTGATTCCTTACCATCTGCGAGAGTCTGCAAAGCGCGCCATGGCAAAGTGAGAGCTTAAGCATAGGTGTGTCGTTTTTTTGAGGGTACCCGTTTACTCTGGCTTTCTAAATGGAACCGCAAGGAAAGACTCCATTTTGAGGGTTTCCGAGAAAACAAATCAGCCCCAAATTGCCTAACAAATACCAATAACATACAAACCGCTGCCAGGGACTCCGTGGATGGTCCCTGCTTGCAAATCGCCGTGATCCACCCCTCGAGGCCTGCAAGGTGTCGTTGCCCAGGATGCTGGCGTTCTCAAAGGTCATGTCCTCGAGTGAGCCCAAGCCGCGCCACAAACGTCGCCAACCGCGTTTTGACAAACACCTTCGGATCATTTCACTTGGCTGGAAATAGGACCCCAGCAAAGAAATATCTTTTTTGTCTGGTTAGTGGAAAACAAAGGGGACCCCAAAAAAGCAAAAAAGGAAAAGGGGGAGCAAATTCTGGGGAAGTTCAGTCGAACATGTGAAAAGCCGTGTAGCAACCGGCATCCATTTAGTGAACCAGATCTCTGCAATTTGGCGGGCAAACAACATGGTACCAGTAATTCGAGGGAAACTTTTTGAAGGCATGATGACACAACGCATCCAAAAGACAGATGCTTATTATTATTGTAACAACCGCACATGTAGCTCCTGTGTCGGCCCAAGTTCGCCCACTTTTTCTGAGACTTTAAATCCGCCCTCATGCTTCCAGTCTGGACGGATTCCCTGTACTTCCCCTCGAGACATCACCCCTCAGGAAACTCACTCAAAATCGGCAAAAGGTGATGATTGAAACCGAGCAAAACATATGAACATATCCTAAATATGTGTGTTTTAGGGGACCCTTCCTAACATTCATGTGCTTGATTCGAATTCGAATTCGCCCAAGCTTCCATGGGCAGCTCGTGCGGGTTGAGCAGCGGCTGCAGAGTGCTCAAATCCACCTGGGATTCAAGGCAATCATGGATGTGATTGATAAAATGAAGGGGGAAAACAAAAACGAAAACACACACACACACACACATGAATCAGTTCTACCCCTTGCCTTTGAAGAAACTTGATCATAGATTGAGGATATTGTCTGGCCATCCCAACACTGGACCAAAAAAAAACTGCATATTGATCAACCGTTCGCCTCCTTGCCACACAAGACGAGGCAAAGAAGTTGTCAGAAACCATTTGCGAGTTGCTTGGTCATCTTTTGTTGTGCCCATAGTCATCCAACTCCGACTCCATCCTTCCAGTCCTTGCCGATTCCATTCTATGAGATTCACTTGAGTTGAGTAGCCCAAGGTCCATGGTCGTTCGCCACTAAAATGGTCCTTCGACCCAGAAAGTATCAAGTCCTGGAACTCACGTAAGCACCTGGTCCACCACTCAGAGATCATGAGACCTGTCAGTCGAAAGTGTCGACTGAGCATAACAGTGTCAACCTCCGCTTCAAATCCACCAAAGATGTGTTTGTTCCGCCACAGAAATATCGGAACCATGGATTCTGATAACTTTCTGCTTGAGACAGCTGTTTCTGCTTGCAGGAACAGGCAACAGCGGCTTGGTTACCCCAAGCATTCCAAACCCCAAAAGGAAACAAAAGCACTTCTATTGTTTGGGCACACTCCGCTGCCAATGAACCCGGAACGCCAAACAAGGGGTCCTTTTCCCAAAAGCCAAAAGGGGCTCTCTTGAGTCTTGAACATGACAGATCTTTTTGGCTTTCACATCAATCCGCAGGAGAGTGTCGCCTAGGGTTCTTCACAAAACCCGGCTTTTGTCAGTAGGCGTCAAGGGCATGCCTAAGTGAACAATCCCAGTGCTTCCAGGCAAGCCACCATAGTAGGCAAGGGACAGCCATGATGTCAAACCTGGAGGTAGCCATACCTGGTTACCTGCTATAGGCTCTTTTCCTGAGTAAACGGGCCACCAAAAAGTCCAAACCTCTTACTTGCTACTAAATTGGTCCAGACTCCAGACCCACAGTCCGAAAACGGAACTCAGGGAGTGAGAGTGGCGCATCAAGGGAAAGCCATGATGTCAAACTTAGAGGTAGCCATCTGCAGGTAGAGAAACCTGGATTCCTGCTACAATAAGAACTGGAAGCAGTGGGCTCCGCCGCCGCCCATCTTTCTCTTTTGAGCGGCTGAGAGTTGCGAGAGACAGCGCTCGCGAAGCCAGTAGGGGTCAAGATGGAACTTGTGCCCGTCCTTGGTCCCGGCGTCAAATGTCCATATGGCTGCGACTTTTTAAGGGGACCCCCCGAAAATGGTGGGTGTCCTTTTGTTTTCGCTTCAACGTCAACCAAACGGAATTACCCTAAAGAGAGACACCTCATATTATAAATCTGTGTCCTTTGGGGTAGCTGAACATGGGAACTACTCGAGGGAAATCACATCCTCAAAACTTAGTTTCGCTTTCGGAATTAGCGGCTGGAAAAACCTCAGGGGCTTAAAAGCCCTTACTGCGACCCTGTCTCAGCACAACACGAGAGCTTGTCCGTCGAGTCACAGTCAGCTCGGCTCCCCCAAACGCCACAACTGGAGCACCGACCAAACACTTGACAAGCTCGTCAGCCAGTCGTGCAGCTTCTAGCTCAGGTACCAATTGTCATGGGGGCTGGAGGGGAGGCAGGAGGGGGGGGGAGGGAGCCCAAATAAGCCCTAGGGCCTAATAAGGGCTTATTTGGGCTCCCCTCCTCTCCTCCCTCCCCCCCATGAAATTGCTTCAACATTCTGCAACCATTCGCCACTAAGCCAATGCGGTCAACAACAAGTAAACTAGGGCCAACATTGCCAGTTCCCTGCGCATGATGGCCACACAAAAAATCCTTTTCAGCGTTTGCAAAACCTGACTCAGCATAAAACTTCGTCATGCACGAGCAACTTGATCCATCCCAACGAAAGCACTATCTTCTCAAGATTGCCCTCTTCCAAAAAAAAGCAGAACAAAAAACCACAGTTTGCCAAAGCTGGAATATCTAAACACATGCGACAACCACCACACCTTGACACAAATTCAAACACGCACACACACACACAGACACACACTCAATGTTAGGAGAGCACGTGTGACGCAAGCCCATGTACAATTGCTGCTCAGAAAATCAAAGTCCCACGCTTTTGCGGTTCCAACAGCATGTTTCTGAAAAAAAAAATCCCAGTGCCACCAATGAAGTTAGGCCCAATCATAAAACTACGAAGCATGTATGTGAAGTTCAATGGTTTTATCTAGTTGTTACTTCATGCTGGTCATCTGTACATGTCCAAACTTTGGTAGCAAATCTGCACGCTTCGGACGGAAGCTTGGCTCTGTCTTCTGTCCAAATATATGGAACCTTTAAAAGGCGGAAGGTGGCTCTGTCTCCAAAACGGGGGCAAATGGGTAAGTCTGTTTGGAGGAATCGGACCCTCGACTGGTGACTTCTTGCTTGAAAACCGCCAAAAACGGGGGACTCCCAAAAAAGGCACACCCATACAGTGGATGGACGAGATCCTGCACTACCGTTTAGAAGCCCTGGAAAGGTCTGATTCCCAGTAAATACCAACAAACAGTGGTTTCTCATGGTGTCTTAGGTGGTGCTGGATTTCGTCCATCCACAGGACTGATACGTTGACCACCCCGCTCCGTTGGTTCCTATGGCGCCATCTGTTGCTGAGACTCTAAGCTCAGCTGCAGGGAGCTTTGACTCAGGTCCACCTCAGCCGTCAGGAAAGACTGTCTTAATGAGTACCCAAAAACCGTTGACTGCTGGTACCAACATGACTCCCTCCTGTCCACTAACATGTACCCCCACCAGAGGATTCCTTCTGAAGGCAGAAAAAACAATCCAGGACCCCTCAGTCAAATTCCATGTTAGTGGACAAGAGGGTATAGAGGCATGTATGGGGATTGATGACACTCAAATTGGCCATCAGCGGGTTTTGGGGCGCTGCTCTTGAATTTGGTTGGAACCTATAGGACATAAAAAAAAATCCCAAACTGCGTACCCTCAAAAAAACACCCACACACAAACATGTGTGTCTGCATCTGTGTCTGCGATGTTGTTTTGTTGCGCGCTTGTTTTCGCGAAGGAGCTGCTGGGATCTTGCCTGGGTTGGGTTGGGCGAGTGTTCTGTCTGAAGGTCCCACTGCTACCGCGATTGCCTCGCAAAAGGGAATAGCATCATAGTGCAAGCGGGGTGCTTCTCAAAGCTCTGGACACCAAGAATGTTTTGTCTTTTGGGCATCTTGTCAAACTATCCAAAACGTGTTCTTCCTTTTGAGACAGACCCATGTGGGGAACCATGATCTCCAAGTTATTCGAGCCAGTAGATAAGTATGTGTTCACCTGGCAATTCCATGGCCCTTTCAACAAAATGGCGTGAAACTGTGAGTACATACCTCCTTTTGGTGGTCACGAAGACTCCAGGTATATCAATGTCCATCTATCTATCTATCTATCTATCTATCTATCTATCTATCTATCTATCTATCTGTCTATATGTACTTCTATTATATTGTGTACATGTAATATGTTGTGCTGCTTTGATTGGAGGGCATCCACGCAGAAAGGCCGAGTTGATTTGAGGGGATCCAAAGATCCACAATCCGAGCGAGCCCACTAAAGGGAGACCATCTGGCAGCCAGTATCTTGCAAATTGCTACCTGGACACGTCACGCGGAGCGTTGAGTCAACGTATGCCGGCTCCCTTCTTCACCCTGCAAGCGAAAGCCGAAAGCCCGGCTTTGACACACAAAATCGACGCAAGCAACACGAGGGCAAGGCCTCTCATTGTGTGATAGAGCTGGATTCCCACGCTTCCATTTGCGTTTTCGCCCCCTGGAAAACTTGTGGTTGTTTTTTTGAAAAAAAAGTTCAGTAGTGATAGATTCCCATTAAAACCAACGAGGAAAATACAATATAGTCTTCAGCAAATGGAAGCACGCAAGCACCTCAAATCCTGAAGCGCCCTCTATAGCCCTGGCGGACGGTTGTGCAACTCACCCCTGTAAACCCAGTTTGAACAGACTCAAAACGTAACATATGGCCCGCCTTTTTTTTTTGACCACCCAAATGTGCAATGATCCCTGGGGCCCTCCAGGGCCAAAAGTCCAAAAGGTTGTGACTTTAGGTGACACTTTGGTGGACATCGGTTTTTTTGAGTGGGTCATCGCGACTTTTCCTTTAAAAACACCTCCCAGATTTGTTTCCTCAGAAATCCCAAAAAAAGTGCCAATACTAAACTTAAATTAGGCCAATACTAAAGCTAATGTCACTTCACCACTTTGGAGGTGGTTCCCCGTTGAAACTCCCCGTACCCGGTCGAGCACGCTGCTGCCGGCATCGCAAGCAGCATCCTGCACGAGCCGACTGGCAAAATACTCCTCTGGCTGAAAGCAGTTGGCCACACAAATATTGGTTTCGCAATGTCATGAAAGTAATCAACATTAAATTCCAGTTGCGCCATCTACTTCCACCCAAGTATTAAATCAAGCCGATGAATTGCCCCCAGCCATCATCTTCAACCAACAACTGATGGGACCAACCTAAATCTCAAGAAGACCCGTACAGTGGTATATGTTGGAGCCAGGTTCATGTCTTTTCATGCTATTTTCGCATTCGAAGGCTCGCAGCTGTGATCCGACAGCACTTCCTTGGAATCGTTGGCCCCGTGCTTCGCGGTGCTGCGGCGGCGACTCTCACGACGTCTGAGGCGGGCGCCGCGGCGAGAGATTCTGCCAGCCTCAGGGTACTTGGCGTAGCTCTGGCGAGGCCGGTGCTTCTCGAACATGTCCGTGTGAAAGATGGGGATGTGCGATTTTTCCAGGCCGCGGGCAAACCTTTGCCAAGGAGCATTTGCAAGTGGATCACTGGAATAAGTGGATTTGTTTTCGGAGCTTGGCCCAGGATCATTGGAATAACTGGATTGGCCAAAACAAGTCCAAACTGCTTATTCACAACCAACATTTTTGTTCAAATAAAGTTTTTCAAGTTCAGGAGCTCCGAGAGTGAGATCATGTAAAACCTGCGCTCTTCGCAAGGTATCAAAGCTCGACACCGGCTGGGCCAAAAAACGCCAGTCCAACGTTTTAGGAGATCATTCCGACTTGTTTCTTGGCAGAAGGATCATTTCACTCACGGATTGATGGGCTAGTCGTCATGGTCACACCGTGAGCAGCATCCCTATGGATAAAATAAGCTTGCCTCTAATTGGTGGGTTGGCTTGGTGGTTTGGTGGTGTTCCGGGGTAGTTTCCCATTTGCCCGTACAAAAGCCAGCGCTTCGAATCCAAATCCCGAATCCAAACCACCAATTAGGGGTTACCGAGGCTCCAAAACAGACAAACCCATGTAAATTGCAAGCATGCATCCTGGCCTCACTGGCAGTCACCAAAGCTTGGCAGACAATTTAAATGGTGGGTCTAAATGTCATTCTGCATAGGTAAGGTTAAACTCCTTGGATCGTGAATGGATCCAAATTGGCTGAAATCAACACGTCGATCTAGGACGACCCGAAAATGCCGTGGCTCGAAGCATGGATGGTCGCAAACAAACAATTCATTGCTCGCAAGGCTTTTCCAGTAATTTCATACCTCACCAGAACTATGCATTATGTATACTATCATATATATATATATAAGTGCGTTCTGATTCATGGCATCCCTCGCAAGGAATATAACTTCAGCTTTCTCTTCATGCTGCTGACTCGCCAAACACTACCCTCCCTCCAACAATCACGGAAGCTGACAGGAGAATTATTGAAGACCACTTTCCCTTTGGGGAAGCTTTCTGTCCACCTCCATGATTGTTGGCTTCCATTTGGTCAAGACCCCTGGAAAACAAATATTAAAAACATATTTCCGGTAGTGATAGTGTCCTTTTAAAACCAACAAGGGAAATCAAACATATTCATTTCAGCAAATGGAAGTTGGAAAGAGGGTACACCTTATGTTTCGGCCAACTTAACCTGACCAAACCAGGACATAGCCCAACCCACGAGCATCTCACGCCTTGGGAGCAGGAACGACAACATGCTGATCATCCTGGCGCGCTGCGGAGGATAGGCTGGCTTCCCAAGACAGGTGAGCTTTTGGACAAATACGAGTAGATGGCCCAGGCAAAGAGAAAGAAAAACAATCTAAACCGGTGGAACCCATCTATTTCGATGCAAACTAACCGATCAAAAGGACAACTATGCCAACAGGAGTGCTGGACGGGTGTTGTTCCTGTTTTGGCTGGATTCAACAGGAAGCCCGAACAAACTGACAGGGCTGGGCTCATCTAGCCATCTGCCTCATTTCAAGAAGGACACCCTGTTGACATAAGAAAACCACTCTGCACGAAACTGGAAACACAAATTTTGCTCACGCCGAATGGCCCCTGCACAGTATATAATCCGTCCAGATCAGGGGGGGGAGGAAAACTGCTCCTGCTTCTCTCAACATGGCCTCAGCCTCAGCAGACTGAGTTCGGCCAGCCACTGTATGGTTGTTCCACGGAACGTGTAACAGGGTAGATGTCCCATAACACCATTGGGTGTGAATGTTCATTCGGGACCCTCTACATGGGGATTTATGTCCACCAGCCACTTTTCGGGGGGGTTCCCTATCTAAATTCATGGCCATGTACACGGTGAAGTGCAAATGGAAGGTTGCCGTGTGTATCCTGCCTCGTCCCAGCGATGCGAAACAACGATCCGCCCAAACCGCCGTGCCAAAAGGCCCAAAGGCTTGAGCCACGGTCACATCAAGGGAAATGATGCCTGGTTGCTGGCGAGACCCAACCGCAAAAAACAATAACTTGTGGGTCCGATACGAAAAATACGCAGTTTCCCAACTTTTTGTAGATCCAATATGGAAATTGCGCAGTTTCCTTAAACAGTTAAAGTCCAAAGATCCAACCAAATAGCCATAAAGATAAGAGCACCCAAGTAAGCATTTGGGTTCCGCTTACAAATATTCCGGAATGGCACCTTCCAACTCCGCATGCCTAACTTGAGTCCCCGACAAGACTGTGGAAATGCATTCACCTCAACATCCGATATATACATTTCCAGCTGGTGGAATCACAAGTATCAGCCACAAACATGTCACGTACCTTCTTTGCAATGCCAGACATGAATGATCGGAGGGCTTTCTGAGTGAACCTGGTAGCAAAAGGGGACCCTTTTTTTGGGGCTGAGTCCGGCGCTAGGGCTCCGGATTGGTTTTGGTGGTTGGGGATACCACCTGGGATATGTTGTGTTATTGAAATAACAACCATGGGTGTCAACACTAAATGCCCACTGCAGACAAGTAAGTGAGGCTCGTGGTAAGGGTCATCGCTGACATCCCCTGGGATTGTGAAAAAAAACACGTCCATATCCATGGCTAATGGTTATAAACTGTGACAAGATGCACCTGAAATGGTGGACATAATTGCCCGCATGAATAATGATGTCTCATGGATATGCTTTGTGTCACAAGCATATTGTTTGTGACCGATATGTAATACAAATATATATATATGTAGTCAAAAACAATTACCGTGTTGCTTTCATGCTACACACATTTCAAACTGATTCGACAAAGGTCCCCCGTTCAAAGGAGCGCAGCCCACTACAGCAAGAACACAGGGACCGGAGCATCCAAGCACGTACTGGAGATACAACACGGGGAAGCCTTTTCTTGGCCGATGTTTATGCAACCATTTGCGTGTTGAAACGAACACAAGGCAGTCAGTGGTCTGCTTTTGCTCTTTTGCTTGGAACATCCAATCAAAGTCTAGTTGAAGTTGAAACTATTCGGTGCCAAACAAAGGGCCTGCAAGAACACACACAGTTGCTTCCTCTTGGGAAAATCAACGTTTCGCCGGAGATTTCACACTTCGCCGTCAAAATTCACTGGGCTCAACTCGCTTTTTCCAGGTTCACAAGTCACTTCCATGTGCTGTACCTGCGCCTTAAACGACAAATCCTGGGGCGGTCTTGCACGGAAGGGCGTTGCGAGTAGCGGCAAACGGTGCGGCTCGCCGTCGTCCGGACTTTTGGCTTGGGACCTGGTGCAAATTTCAAATGAGTCCGGCCAATAAATTAAAGGAAGACAACGGACAGGTCAGGATGATATTTTCCAGAGTTGGGCGATTCAACCCCTCGTAAGTATATTAAGCCCACGAAAGTGTTCAAACCTCCTTTTGCTTGCCCATTAAAGGAATTTGACCAGGGGTGGTTGTTGAAACCAACTTTGCTCAACCCTGACATTCAATTCCTCAAACACAACCATCGAAGCTGAAAGAGTGTCTGTGTGAGAGGAACATTTTCCAAAGGGCGCTTTCAGGTTTCACGTGGATGTGTCGTGTGTTGAGGCTCTGTAGCTTTTTGGGGCATGTAAAAGGACACCAACGGGAAACCGCCTACCCTTTTTTGGGGGGAGTCTAACCCCATGTTTTTGGTGATCAAGTTCAGCCCTTGGAATGGGCCAAAAATGCTCAAAACCCAAAGTTGCACAGGCTGCTTTGCATATCCTCCATTTTTTGAAGTCCCATGTAATAAAAGAAAAACAGATGCAGTAGTTCCACCTCCCCTTTAAATAAAACCAACCGGGGAGGAAAAAACAAAAACTTATTATTAAGCACATGGAAGCTAGCCACAACTTCAAGCTCGTCCAGACCTCTCACCCTGATATCGCAAGATCACAGGTCTGCGGCCCGGACACATGGCCGACTGAGGATATCCCAACAAAGAAAACAAAAACCGGGCGTCTGAACGAGAGGATGCATTCCGTTCAACCGGCTTTACCTCGCAGAGCCTGACTTATGGGAACTGTACAGTGATGAGCGGCAACTCATCCTTCTTGCACTGCAGAACGGCAGGAGCAACAAAGACGCACCAAGCCCAGCTATCCTGGTCGTTGGTCGATGTGGGTTGTAGGCGCGCGCATGTCTCAATGGTTTAAACCGGTTAACGCAGGCAGGTCAAACACGGGTTAATTGCGAGAACCAGCGAATGCACATTTGCTGTGGAATCGGTCTGTTACAAGCCACCCGGGTCCCCTTCAATCGGCTGTCATTCTGACGAATGCAATCATATCATTTCCGATTTGAGGGATTTAGGCCAAACTTCCCGCGCAAATCCCGGGAAAACCGAGGGAGAACAAAACCCCTTACTCCCCTGCAAGTTGACATGGAGCACCCCTTACGCCCTTTTTGGGTGCCATGAACATCTGCACGAAGACTACGGGGTGTTTCTCAGATTAGGAAGCCCCTCCAGGTGGTGTCCTGTTGGTTTCCCTTGAAACCACGGTTGAACCCAGTACGTCTGTTGGTATTTACAGGCAATCATGTCATTCCAGGGTTTCTAAACTGTGCGCAATGGATTTCATCCATCCACAGCATTAGATCCACAGTACTAAACCCGGGGTGGTAGAAACTACTTACATGACCCTTTCTGCTTTTTTGGGCTCTGCCCAAATGGGAAACAGCTCGAGCCGATGGCGTCGCTTGAATTCCTCCTGACTGCAGACTGCACCGTGACGAAGCAGATGGCAGCGTTCAAAGCATGTCAACGCCAAGTCACATGGGCGATCCAGGAACCCTGTACCTTGAAGTCGGTCCTTCACAGAAGACATGGGTGGCCAATATGTGTTTAATTGCAAACCCCTTAAAACTCCCTGCGCCCTGGGGAAGTTTTCATCTTTTACAGACATATAGCCCATGTGGCCCCAAAAAGTTACGAAACGTTTTCTGTTTTCAAGAGGTAAGATTGATTAGGAATGGTGGACTCTGGGCCTTGAAGCGGGACTTTTACACTTGATCTATGCAGCTGAAGAGGCCAAGCTCTTGCAATGGTGTGCGTTCATGACATTCTGGCGATTCATATTGCCGTCCTTTGTGGGTGAGATATCTAGAATTGGCAACAGGTTCCACTTGGCTTTGAAACACTGACCGCAAATTAACCTGCATCCAATAGAAGTTGAAGTCAGACTGGTTTGATGGAGACGTGGACACGCCAATTTCAATGCACAGCGAGCCCCTTGCTTGATAGAAGGCTTGCGCATTTCTGAAGCTATGCAGGCTCAACTGGCTAGCAACCTCCATGAACATCCCAAGCATCTACGCGATTCCTACTTAGAAATTGCCAAAAGGCCATGATTGATCTCCGAAACTGGAGTATCGATTTGGCATTTCCAAAGCTTCAGGCTCCGTACACATGGCTGTAACCTGCCATTGCTTAAGTCCCCGGGGGAGAAAAACAAAAAAACAGTGATGGATTCCCTATAAAACCAACAGGGAAGAATAACATATTCTTGAGCAAATGGTCCCAATGAGACAAACCCACCAGCTGGCCGCGATCCCCTGGAGGGTTCTGGCTTTCGGCCAAGCCTAGGGCCGAGTTCAGTCTCGGCTCACCTATGGCCGTGCCATAGGGACTCTCCACAGAACTGGGTAGCCAACAAAAACTCCTCGAGGACTCATGCAAGAGCTCGTCCGGCAAAACACGTCCTTGAGTGCGTTACAAGAGGCCAGCCCTTGACACCCAACTGCGTTGCCCCGAGTACAAGACCCTTGAAGTCGTGTGGTCTCTGAGAAGTGAAGAAGGATCATCTTGGACGCTATCTCATCCAAAGCCGTATCTGGCACCATCCTGTTGTTTCCCTTGCTTCTAGTAAAATGTGTACACAGATTTACCGTCCTGTCCACGTTGCCATGGAATTTGAGTGAGGGGTCCTGGTTTGGACCAGCCATTCCAAATTACGTGAAGCTCCTTGGGTAAGCAATGGTCATTTTGCCAACCAACCAACCAACCAACCAACCAACCAACCAACCAACCAACCAACCAACCAACCAACCAACCAACCAACCAACCAACCAACCAACCAACCAACCAACCAAAAAACAAACAAACAAACAAACAAACAAACAAACAAACAAGACCAAGCCAGCCAAGTCAACTAGTCCTCCGTTGTCTTAATGGTGCCATGCCGTGCCATTGCTGGAGACCTTGAGTCCTCACCCAGCGCGGCGCTTGCAAGCGCAAGCTGTGAAGAGGTTCGGTGGTTTTTGACAAACCGGAAAGGCATCACCCTGAGCGAGGCCCTGTCTTTGCAAGCCAAGAACCCCAGAATCTTGGTATGAACTATTCCCACATCCACGGGTTCCACAAGGTTCGGAACATACTCACGTCTTCGGCAAATTGGCCAAAGTCCAATGTGGTATTCCTAAAAGCTTCTTCCCAAAAAAGGGACTAAAACCCGAAGCGGAAGTCAGTGAGTATAAGAATGAGATTTACATGAGGCCTAGAGTGGCCTTTGTGTTGCGCGGTCCCACACCAACTAAAGCCCCTTAAAGCCCCGAGCGTGGGCCTGGGTCCAGCTTTCCTTGGAAAAACCGTCCCCCCTTCGTATGTGGTTGGCCTCCTGGGGTTTTTTCACCTATTTACAACCAGGCTGACTGAACTTGGGAGACTTATAAATAGGCAATAACCAAGGTTACTAACCACTTACTAACTTGACCGAACACCCAAGTTTCCTTTTAATGGCGATTTTCAAATCCCCGGTACGAAGTAAGATTTCATCCAGCGAGAGCTTTTTTCAAAATGGTGCCCATTCATCCCCAGTGATTGGTGTCCTTCCGGTGTCCATTCTGAGCCTTGGTTGGTGGTCCGGACCTAAACCCCTGGCTCTTGTTTAAAACAAAAATGGGTTTTCCTTTATTTGGAACACCTACCCACGAGGGAAGCTGACGCTTCTCACACGAAGCCCT